ACCCCTAGCACATGTTAATAGAAAATGGTGCTATTATTGTATGAAATGGCATTTAACTTGTTTATGTATGAACAGTAGTGCTCCCTGTAGATATATATGAAAACAAAGTTTTTATAGGACGTTGTTATAAAGGACTGATGGCTATATCCTTATTTTTTGAAAAATGATTATTTCAGAATAAAGACAAATTCAGGGTCCAAAGGCGGTTCCCCATAGAGTTATACAAATCAATATAAATAAAATGCAATAATACTGAATATGGAAAAACATTTTTTAATGAACTCAACATCTTGCATTATGAAATATATTGATCAAAAATAGAAAAGATAGGGACTCCTGGGTGGCTAAATTGGTTAAGCGTCTGCCTTCCAACTCAGGTCATGATCCAGGGGTGCTGGGACAAAGCCTACATTGTGGTTCCTGCTCAGCAGGGAGTCTGCTTCTCCCTCTGCCTCTGACCCTCCCCCTCTCATGCTCATGCTCTCTCTCTCAAATAAATAAATAAAATCTTTACAAAATCAAATAAATAAATAAAATCTTTACAAAATGAAATAGAAAAGTTGTTAACACAATATCAAAGATAAAACTTCTCTGTAGTATTTGACACATTCCTGGCTATTTTCATCACTTGAGAAGTACCTCAGATCTGAACTTTGTGCTTTCCAGGTTTTCATGGATGGGCTTGTCACAGTTTGTATAGAATGTAATAATAGAATTACTCTCGTGGAAAACTATGGAAGCAGGGTCAGGAAATCACAGGTGAAGGAGTCCAGTAGACTGAACTGCTCTGGATGTACCCCAGTAGAATCCATAGGCCACTGTGTGCCCCAGCAAGATGGGCAGCCTCAGCCATGCCCACATCCACTCTCCCCATAGCCAGAGCCAGAGCCACAGGGCAGGCAGCCGTAATGGTTGCTATAATAGTGCATGGTATAGGAGAAGAGGTTTCCATAGTGGAGCAGGGAACTATTTTCCTCCATTTGAATGTCAGCATCTGCATATGGAATTTTACACAACTTCTGTGGTGTATGAGGCAGTATGACCTCATATTTCAGGCAAAGTTTAATAAGAAAGCTTCATAAAAAAACTTGTGTCAATAACAAGGAAATGTCCTTATAGCAAATATTAGTAACTATTTTTCTAATAATCATGTCACATGTCCTTAACTAGGTTCTTGTATTTTAGGGATCTTCTCATTCTGGTTTTGTTATTGAAGTCTATACTCAGATTCCTTGAAATTTTGATATCCAAGCCCTTAGACCCAATTTTCCTCTTTTTTTTTCCTCTCTCAAAATAGTAATTTCTATGGCATATTTAGACATACAATTAAGGGACTGAGGTTATGTCTATTTGAGTGAGGAAGTGATAAAAGTGAGGAGTTACTTGAAGTAAAATATCTTTTAAATTATATGATTCCTTTCTGTCAGGCAAATAACTCCTCACACCAAATGTTTTCTACTACTACTAATGACGAACCAACTATATTTACATGAAAGTGCTAATGTAAAGCTGCATTTTTGTTCATCCTGAGAGTTTTATCTCTTTGTGAACCATGACTTTCTATGGGAATACACCATTATATTATGCAATGAAGCATTTATTTAGAAACTCAAATATTCATTCTGGGTGTGTTCCCTCCACCTTTTGGGTTCTCATATATTCAAATTAGCTTTAAAGTCATCATTTCATTTCTCAAGGAATGTTTTCTTGAAATAGTGGCAGAAGAAACATGGGATATGGATTTCTCATATCTGCTTCTGCGTTTAGTCTGTTGTGGTGTATATTCATGGGCTTATTAGGTTGGAACAGGCAAATATATATATATATGTATATATATATTATGAAAATAGTTTGGGGCTTATGAATCCCTTGAGAAGGTCTTTGTGGGACCAGGGAGGGAGACAAACCATAAGAGACTCTTAATCTCAGGAAATAAACTGAGGGTTGCTGGGGGGTGGGGGGTTAGGGAAAGGGTGGCTGGGCGATGGACATTGGGGAGGGTATGTGCTATGGTGTATGCTATGAATTGTATAGATTGATGATTCAGATACCTGTACCCCTGAAGAAAATAATACATTATATGTTAATAAAATTAAAAAAAAAAGAAAAAGAAAAGTGTCTTTGGATCCTGTTGGTGTCAACAGACCACAATTTGATAAGCCCTAATCTAGACCAGTGTTCTTCAAACTTTCAAGAAAGCAAGCTAGACAAGTAACTATTTGGAATCTGATTCCAAAATTTAAATATGACTATTTACTTATTATCTATTTCATGCATCAATTACTGATAAGTAATAATTGATTATAAAAATAAAATTATTTATACCAATAAGAACTCACATTATGATAGATTATGCTTTAACATGCTGGGAAATTTTTAGGATTTTTTTCATATAGAGATTTGAAGTTTTGGTTCTTTATCCAGTATATTATAATTATTAGAAAAAATGTATTTATTATATTCACCAAATCATTTTTTAAAAATTTTCGAATCAATCTGAATCCCACTATCTAGTTATATAATTTATTTTTGAAATTTAACTAATAAATATATATCCTCCTTAATTTCAACAGTTTGTTTTGACAAATTATTTTGAGAGGCTTTGTTTTTATATAAATAGGGGCAAAACCCACTTAAACTCTTCATTTGGAAAAATTTAAAAACATCAGAATATTCTATTTTCACATTTTAATGTTACATAGATATCAGTGCCTTACAGATGGTACATTTATATAAAACACAGTAATGTGGGGTGCCTGGCTGGCTCAGTCTGTTAAATGTCTGCCTTCAGCTCAGGTCATGATCTTGCGGTCCTGGATCAGCCTCACATGGGGCTCCCAGCTCAGCAGGGAGCCTGCTTCTCCCTCCCTCTCTGCCCCTCCCACCCCAACTTGTGCCCTCTCTCTCTCAAATAAATAAATAAAATCTTTAAAAACAACAACTCATGACATGACAATGGAAACAATCTCAAATAATCATTTACAAAATGCTCTCTTCCCAACACAGCAGCGTGCCTGGCATTCTTTATACATTGAGTGTTGAATGAATGAAAGGCTGAATGAACATATAAAATGGACTTCATAATCAAAATGATTTCATGTGAAGAGATTTGCTAAAGACAGCTAGATTCTCAGGGCTGGTACAGCATTCCCTATTTCCTATTCCAGGCTGGAAATGAATTCTATGGGAATGACATCAGGCATCTGAGAAGCTTTCTTGTGAAGCTACCAGAAAGCAGACGCCTGGAAAACTCACAGAAGCACCACTTAAAATGTAGGGGTGTTCATTTGTGTTCTGGGGAACCAAGGGCAGACAGCCAGCCCCGTACAGCTATCAGAATTCAGGTGTGTTTTGAACTAGCTGGCCTGAATTAAAGAGAAGCCAAATTTACTGAGGAAGAAACAATCAGCTGTGTCACATGGACACTCAACTTTAAATAGTACAGAAAATATGTAGAGGGACAGAAAAGAAAAAAAAGAAGAAAACAAACGGAGGAAAGTAGCGTCACTCCCTTGGGAGAGTAGCTACACACACATTTTTATCTTATAATCATCCATATGCAAAAATGACAGTGACAATAAATAAATGTGAAAGCACATCATCTTTGCAAAAAGATTAAATTTATTGAAAGAAGTAGTTATAGACCAAGGAGAAATTTCTGTTGCATTTTAAAAGATATTCTTTATGATCTTGCACAAAGGAACCAGAGGAAAAATGACATGTGAACTTCTTTCATAATAGCCTAGATTTAGATTTTTGCTATTTTGCAGAGATGGGATGGGATAAACAAGACCAGCAGCAGAATCCATGTTTCATGAGAGGACAAATCTGGTGTGTCTAGTCATTCTAGAATTTTCCAGTAGAATCCATATGACCCATATCTTCCATAGCAAGATGGGTGGCAGCAGCCATATCTGTAGCCACCATATCCATGGTAGCCACAGTCATAGGCATAGCTGTAGCCACGGCCAAGACCACCATAGCCTTAGCTCCCATACTAGTTGCTGTATGGTGTCAGGGAGGATGGTGCAGAAGAGGAAGATACTTACCTGAGTTTGAATATCATTATCTTCATAAGGTCTTTTATATAACCTTAGTAGTAGGTGTTGGAAGTCATGGGCAATGTTGCCCCTTATTACAAATTATTTTGCATTACCTATGAACAACACCAACAGCAAAACTCTCATAGATCTCTCATTTCATTAAGGATAGAGAGGGCTTACTAGCCACAACTACTCTTCTTTTGTGTCAAGAATTTCATGGTCAGATCATGTGCATTGAATGACAGATCTCTGATTTGGTTTTCTCACTGGGGGCTCAAATTTAAAGTTTGTAATGAAATTCTAGAAATCACAGAAATTGATTCCAGTTGTTTTGGGCATATTAGTAATGTCAAATTCATCTGCCCATTGAGGTTGAAAAAGTTACTCTTGTTTAGCTTTGAAAGATAGAAGTGCTAAGGGGTAGGTTTTATTTAAATTATGAGATATATAATATTGTCCAATATTTCTTTTAAAGATAAAACAATTAATTTTATTTTAAATACATAATTCAGGTAACATTTTATTTTATTTTATTTTATTTTATTTTATTTGAGAAAGAGAGAACAGAGAAAGAGAGAAAGAGCACGAGTGGGGGGAGGGGCAAAGGGGAGAGAGAAACAGCTGAGCTGGGAGCCCAATGCAGGGCTCCATCCCAGGATTCCAAGATCATGATCTGAGCCAAAGGCAGATGCTTAACCAACTGAGCCACCCAGGCACCCTTCAGGTAACACTTTTTCAGAAAAAAACTTTACAAGTGTACAAATATGCTTTCTTTTCATATTTTACCAAATTCTATCTTGAGTCACCATTTCCACTAGATAGCAAAACATTTATTCTTGTCCCTTCCAGGTAAATAACAAAGTTCAATGACATACTAGTCTGCAGAATGAAAGCTCAATTGACTTAAAGGTTTCACCACTCCTCCTTCTCCTGAGATGGACTCCAATGTGTAGGCGGATGCTATTGATTGGAAGGGAGTACTTTCATCTGTCCTGCCAGACATGGGTGGTTGCCATTCCCATTGCCATTAGCCAAAAAACTCCTCTGGTCAATGTATTCCCCATCATTCAGTGCATGGCTCTACAGCGATCAAGGTTTTTCCTTGTGCTTGGGAAAATAATGAGTCTGAGCTCAAAGCCATCTGGGTAGGCACCAATTGTTACATTCTCTACCCACATGTGTTATATTGTTAGGTCACTCATGGGACTTATTCCTTCTCAGGAAAATTAGAGTGTGATGTTCTCTACTTTCAGATGCCTAGCCATAAGCTAGGGTTTCTTTTTCCTTCAGCTGCAGTGACCCAGGACCCCTAAATGAGGACTTAACCGTGTCTGAGTTCTCCTGTTTGACACATCCACTCTCTACTAAAGCTTATATCCAGGGAAACAGGGGATGAAATAAGTAACAATAATAGCAAAGATTATTCTACTACCTACTATGTGCCAGACACTGCTGTAAGTGCTTGACACATGCTAGCTAATTTGACCTTTGAAATGGTCTTGTGGGGTAGGTGTTATTATTACTATCTCATTTGCAGACAGAGCAGCTGAGGCACACTGTTACAGTGGTTACTAAGCTACAAGTGATGGAAGTAATATTTGAACTCAGAGAGCTGATTTTAGAAATTCTATTCATATCTATTGTGCTCTACTGACTCCTATCAAGTCATCTTATTAAGAACATAAGTTTAGAGGACTATTTCATTTAATTATTGAGTTAAGTTCTGAGCTGTATTGCATTAAAAAAAAAGAAAAACCAACGGCCGACCATTAGTATGTTTCTCATAGTCCAAGATATTTTTACCAAGACTTCATTGTTAGTTGGTGAAAATCTATTAGTGTCATGAAAGACAACTCTGCCGGTATTGTTATTTTAAATGAAGAAATGCCTACATTTAACTATGAGTCAAAACACAAATATTACAAATATGTTGAATTTTAAAGAAAACTTTCATGAAAACACAATTGTATAAAGGAAATAAAAGCTCATTTCTATTTTCAGGCTATAGATTCAGGATACAAATTTGAAACCGTAGAAAAAACCAGTGGTTAAAAATAGAGTCATAAAAGGAAATGTTAATGTAAATGAAAAAGAAAAGCCCAGTTTTCTCAGGCTTGGTGTTCCAGAATTTCAAACTACTGTTTTTTTGTCAACAGTCTCATGAAGTTGAGTGATACCTTTTGGCTTTTCCTAGTTAGCCACTAAATCTCTGAAGGAAAAAAATGAGCTTGGGACAAAAAAGAAGAAATGGAGAATCTCAAGTTAAGGCTGATTATTATGACCTGTTGAATGCTGGCCAAAAGAAGGCGGGTTGTTTGGTTGTTTGGAGGTCAGAATGTCTACCACAAATGCTATTTACTGTCATGAAGACTGGTTACAAATTGCCAACTTGAAGATCTTACATAAGCAGAGTTTTGAAGCTGGGACAACTGATTCTTATTAATGACTCACAAATGATTCAATGTAGTTAAACAATAGCAAATGTCATTGCCCCCAAAGCCATACCCTAAAACCAGGAGTCAACAAGTTACTCACAGAGGTCTTGCAACCAATGGGATGACTTGTGTGGTGGATCCCACCCACATCAAGGGTATATAAAAGGTCTCTGCAGGGGAATTGTGTACACTGAAGTGACACTTCTCCTTTCCTCCTCTACCCAAGGACAACCTCAACAACCAACACCATGTGTGGCAGCTACTACGGAGGCTGTGGCTACGGAGGCTGTGGCTATGGAGGCTGTGGCTATGGAGGCTGTGGCTACAGAGGCTATGGCTCCGGAGGCTGTGGCTACGGAGGCCTGGGCTGTGGCTATGGCTCCAGCTATGGCTGTGGCTACGGAGGCCTGGGCTGTGGCTATGGCTCCAGTTATGGCTGTGGCTTCCGCACCCTGGGCTGTGGCTATGGCTGTGGCTCTGGCTGTGGCTATGGATATCGTTCCCACTCTCTCTGTGGCTATGGATGTGGCTCTGGCTACGGCTCTGGCTTTGGCTGCTACTAATTGAGGTCACTATGGGAGACTCTCACCCTCCATAACTGGACATGGGATTCACCAGTTCTGAGCCCCACAGCTTCTGACTTTTTCCCTTGGGTGATGATATCCTGCATGATGAAAGTCTAGCATGGTCTGTTGTTGCCTACAATCCAACCTACAGATACCCTGAATTTATGCAGGAAGTGGGAGATGGTGAAATTCACCTGTGACCCCCACAGTTCTGCTTTCATCAGGATGATGGTGTCAGAGCAACTGCCTCGATGACATTCATGCTGGAGCCTGTTTCTGTGTTGACCCAATAAACTTGTTCAATCCAAACAGCAACCCTGGTTTTATGTCAGTCATTTGATGCCTAGGATTAACATTTTTTTGTTTGTTTCTGTTTTCAAGAAAGCTAATGATTACTACATTTGGGAGATATTTTTCTCTCATTTTTAGGTCAGTTGTCTTGGAAAAGTACTTTTTTTCTTATAAACTTCAGTTTCCTCCTCCTCTGATACTGAGGGAATAATGTCTTATGCTAAGTGACTGTTAACACTAAATCAAGAATTACTTATATGTTAGGTTAAGCATTGCCTGACATACATAATACATAATAAAGAAAAAAATTAATTTCCCCAAACTTCCTTATTCATGTTCCTTAAAATAAATGAACATTGTTGCTATATACTTCTCTTCTCTTGTTTTTTTCTTTTTTTTAAGATTTTATTTATTTATTTATTTATTTATTTATTTATTTATTTGATAGAGAGCAGGAGAGAGAGAAAAAGGGAGCATGAGTAGGGGGGAGGGCTAGATGGAGAAGCAGGCTCCCACTGAGGAGGAAACCCGATGAAGGACTTGATCCTAGGACACTGGGATCATGACCTGAGCTGAAGGCAGATGCTTAACTGAACAGCCACCCAGACACCCTATCCTTCTCTTCTTTTAATCTTCCATTTTAAAGGTATTATTTAAAAACAGACATGCACTTTAAAGGTATGAAAGACATAACCCAAAGAATAGTTCAATAATCTTTTACATCCCAAGCTGGTGATAAATTAAAAAACTGTTTGGCATTCATGGTGGGCCATAATATTTAGATAACTGTATTTCAGATATACTCTGAGAAGTTTCAGGGTCTCATGAAATTTCAGTTCAAGATATTGGATGGGGCTGTGGTCACCCCTGAGGTTTACTGGGGAAGGATTCACTTTCAGACTCAAGTTGTTGTTGGCAGATCTCAGTTCATTGCATTTGTAAGAATGTAAGGCCCATTTTCTTTCTGATTTCTGTCAAGAGGCCCTTGCAGGCTCTCTGCTGAAGTCACCCTTAGCTGCAAAATCTTGCCCACAGTTCTTGGCTAAGTAAATTCCCAACATGGTTGCTTGTTTTCTCAGAGCCAGCAAGGAAGAAGAAAGACTCCAGTAAGATGAATGCTATGATCTTATGTGACATAATCACACACAACCATTTCCATTTGCCATATTTTATTGGTTACAAAGCAAATCACAGATTTCTTTCACACTCATAAGAGCATTTGCATCAGGAGGTAGGAATCAAGGGGGCATGTGGAGAGTTTGCCTACCACAGACTCAATGTTATTCATCCATCATAGGAATTAGTGAATTGTCTTTCATTTCACAGCTCTTCAACAGCTTGGGTAATATTAGCACCATCTTGTCCTCTAATTTGGTAGCATTCTGAGAGATGATGTGGATCTTGGTTTTTCGGTGAATTATTTTGTTAATGATTTTATTACTTCCAAGGAAATAGAACTGTTTTTGATTTCTGAATCTAATGGTTTAAGTAATACAGATTTTCCAAGGAAATTATCTATTTCATATGGGTTTTCAAATTTATATGCATAGAGATTTGAAAAGTTGTCTCATATGATGTTTAAAATTTCTTCTATTTTAATGTTCCCTCTTGTTTATTTTTTTATATAGTTTCTGTCTCTTTTTTTTTCCTCACCAGTTAGCAAGTTCTGTTAATTATTTCATTTGGTTCATTATTTAAATCATCTCTTTTTTTCTGATTCTCTGTTGCATTAACTTCTGCTTTACTATTTATTATTTCTCTCTTTGTGCTTTCTTTGTTTTTTATCAAAGTTTGTGTGATAAAATATTATATTATGAAATATTAATTTATTTCCTTTCATTTTTACTAATTAAATTGTTCAGGCTATGAATTTTTCTCTTAAAACTGCTTTAAATATTTCTCATAGATGCTATTATGGCCCATTATTATTATTATTAATTATTTTAAAAACTTCAAATTCATTTGTCTGACCTCTCTCACACAAGAACTTTTTAGTGGAACATTTTTTATTTTCCAAGTTAAAGGGTGGTTTTTTTTTTTTTTTTTTTACTGTTTAATTTTATTTTTAAAGGGCTTTTTGTTCTTTGTTTTTGTTATCAGTTATTAGTTTTGAAGTCTGACATCAGAGAGTATTTTTTACTAGTATTTCTACTTTATAAAACTTACACTTTCTGTGTGACAAAATATATGGTCAGTTTTTGTGGATGTTCTGTGGGAGCTGAGAAGAAGGTTCATTTTCTATTATTAGGGAAAAAGTTAACATATAACCATAAAAGCTACCTTATTCATAATATTGTTATATTGATAATATTGAAAATATTTTACCTTTTCTACTTCATTTGTCTTGTTCTGAAAGTGCTATTTTAAAGTCCCCCATTATTAGTGTGTTTCTATGTATGTTTTGGCCTCATATAACTGTGTCTTCACAAAGGAGGTGTGCATGCTATTTGGTGTATACATGTTGGTAAGTATATTTTTTTCCAATTTTTTTTTTCAAAATTTTATTTAAATTCCAGTCAGTTCGCATACAGTGTAGTATTAGTTTCAGGTATAGAATTTAGTGATTTCTCACTTACGTATAAGACTGAGTGCTCCTTACAACAAAGTGCCCTCTTTAATCCCCCATCACCTATTTAACCCATCCCTCCATCCACCTCCCCTCCAGCAACCCTGTTTTTTTTTCTCTATAGTTTAGAGTCTGTTTTATAGTTTGCCTCTCTTTTTTTCCACCCCATGTTCATCTGTTTTATTTCTTAAATTGCACATATGAGTGAAATAATATGATATTTGTGTTTCTATGACTGATTTATTTTGGTTAACATTGTACTCTAACTCCATCCATGTCATTGCAAATAACAAGATTTCATTCTTTTTGATGGCTGAGTAATATGGAACAGAATAGAAAACTATATGCTCATATAATCTTTGACAAAGCAGAAAAGAACATCCAATGGGAAAAAGACAGTCTCTTCAACAAATGGTGGTGGGAAAACTGGACAGCAACATGCAGAAGAATGAAACTGGACTGCTATCTTATTATACCATACACAAAAATAAATTCAAAATGGATAAAACACCTACATGTGAGACAGAAAACCATCAAAATCCTGGAGGCAAACACAGGTAGTAACCTCTTAAACATGTTGCCAGAGTCAAGGAAAACAAAACTGTTGGGAATTCATCAAAACGAAAGCTTCTGCACAGTTAAGAACAACCAACAAAACTAAAAGACAACCTACAGAGTGGGAGAAAATGACGTCTTTGATAAAGGGTTAGTATCCAAAATGTATAAAGAACTTAAGAAACTTGACACCCCAAACACAAATAATCCAGTTAAAAAATGGGTAGAAGACATCTGCGGACATTTTCCAAAGAAGGCATACAGATGGCCAACAGACACATGAAAAGATGCTCGACATCACTCATCAGGGAAATGCAAATCAAAACCACAATGAGATATCAAGGCACACCCATCAGGATGACTAAAATTAACAGCACAGAAAACAACAGGTGTTTGCAAGGATGTAGAGAAAAGGGAACCCTCTTACACAGCTGGTGGGAATGAAAACTGGTGCAGCCCCTGTGCAGAGTACTACGGAGCTTCCTCAAAAAGTTAAAAATAGACCCACCCTAAATCCAGCTCTTGCACGACTCGGTATTTGCTCAAAGGATACAAAAATACTGATTCGAAGGGACACATGCCCCCCAATATTTATAGCAGCACCATCAACAATAGCCAAATTATTGAAAAAGCCCAAATATCCATCGACTAATGAATGGATAAAGAAGATATGGTTATATATGAGTAAGATATTTTTTGTGATTTGTTTGGAATTTTCATGAGAAAGCTCTTTTCTTTGTCATAGCTAAAGCTTTTTAGCCTGAATTCTATTTGGTTGATGTCAGGTTTATACGTTTTCTTGTGACAATTTGCACAGATACCTTTGTATATGCCTTTATTTATTTATTTTTTGTTATTCTGAATCAATTTTGTTTAGGCATATATACAGCATATAGTGATGTTTTCCTTCAGGAGTCAAATTCAGAATGTTTTATTTAATAGATAAATGAAGCCAATTTATATGTATTGATGAGGCTGATATGTTTCAAAACTCAATACTCTTAAATAAATTAAAAAAATGGCATTGGAGGGAGCCTGGGTGGCTCAGTGGGTTAAGTCTCTGCCTTCAGCTCAGGTCATGATCTCAGGGTCCTGGGATCAAACCCCACATCAGGCTCTCTGCTCAGCGGGGAGCCTGCTTCCTCTTCTCACTCTGCCTGCCTCTCTGTCTACTTGTGACCTCTCTTTCTCTGTCAAATAAATAAATAAAAATCTTAAAAAAATGGCATTGGAATGGTTTGTAGTTTTCCTAGTGGTTACTTTGGTATCTTTGTATCTATAACAAATTTAATGTGCTAAATTCTCTCTTTTCTTATTCAACATTTTATTATGTGATATACTAGTTATTTCATATTCTTAACTTCCACTGTTGTCTATAGAATAGCAGCTTAAGTTATTTTTCTCTCTCCATCTCCTGCTACGCCCTTGTCTTTTACCTGGTTTATTACTACTTTGTCATCACAACATATGTATATATTATTAATCCTCAAATATAATCCCTGTGTTTGATTTGGTTATATATTACACTAAATATGTATCACACACACACACACACACACACACACACATAGTTACCTATATGTATACAGACACACATATCTCTAAATCTATATGTCTCCAACATTTTGCTGCTCAGTATGGCCTTTTGGGTGCAGAATTTCCTAATTTATTCTATGCTGAAAACTGTTGTTCTAATACATTGTTACACGAAAGACAGCTTCATTAGATATAAAGTCTTTACTTAATACTAGCTTTTATTAGTTAGTCTTTAAATGTTCTCTCTTCCACCCATCTTTGAATGTAGTTTTTGAAAAGTCTGATTAACAGCTTAATAGTTTATCCTTTGTAAATTATTTGATTGCTGAAAAGCCTTGAGTAAGCCTTCTTTATCATTGAAATATAATATTTTAACAACATATATCTTATAATTAATAATTTTAAATTCATATTCTGTTACCATTAGGACCTGTCAATGAGTACTTTTTGATCAAATAAAATAAACACTAGAATATATCATAATTAAATATTTGAAAAGCAAAGGCAAAGAAAAAATTCTTGAAAGTAGCCAGAGAGACACAACAGATTATCTACAGAATAACAGTAATTTGAATGACAGTTGCTTTGTCATCTGAATGGAGTAATAAAATATGGCATAGCAGTTTTCAAATGGTGAAAGAGAAGAACTGTCATCCATGTATTTTACATCTTGCAAAACTATCTTTCAAGAATGAAAGGGAAATAAAAACATCCTCAGAAGGAAAAAAATAATTTTCCATTAGCAAATCTACATTTAAAGATTGACTTGAAAAAGTTCTCTGAACAGAAAAGAAATGCTAAAGGAAGAGATCTTGAAACATCACAAAGGCACAATGAAAAAAAACAGGAATATGAATACCTACAATACACTAACTTCCTCCTCATGAGTTCTAGAAATCATATTTAGTGTTTGAGATAAATATTATAACACTATAATCAGGGCAATAATAGTAAAAGCAGACATGATAAGGGGATCTAAATCAAAGTAAATGCCCAACACTTCACTTGTGGCCATAAATATTGATACCAGTACACTGTTATAAGTTGCATATGCATATTATAATACCCAGAGGAAACATTATAAAAGCTATGCAAATATATGCACTCAAAAATACCATAAATAAATTAAGATGCAATGCTATGAAATGTTCAAAAAACATAGAAAGGCAAGAAAAATAAACAGAGTAACAAGAACTAGAAGAAACAAATAGAAAACAAATAATAAAATGACAGGCTTAAATGCTAGCATATCAGTAATTACATTGAATGTGCATGGTCTAAATACATCAATCAAAGACAGAGATTGGAAAAGTGGATTGCAAAATCCAACATGACCTACCTATATTTTGTTTATAAGAAACTCACTTCAAATTCATTGACATAAGTAGGCTGCAAGTAAATGGATGGAAAAAATTATGTCATGTAATCATTAATAAACTAAAGCAGGAGGTGGCCATATTAACACCAGATAAAATAGACCTGGGAACAAAGAAAATTACAGAGACAAAGAGACATATTACATATGGTATAAGGATTAATCCGCCAGGGAGAAATAACAATTCTAAGTGAGTACCAAACAATAGAGTTTCAAAATATATGAATTAAAAGAAATAGAATTGAAAATAGAAATAGAGAAATTTACAATTATACTTGGGTATTTTCAACTCACCTTCTGAGAAACTAATAGATCTAGTATGCAGAAAACAACTTGGAGACAGATGATCTGAGCAACACAATCAGCCAAAAGAGTTTTTCATATTATAGAATTCTTTACCCAGCAAAATATATATATATATATTTTTTTTTTCAATGAAAGTATGTATATATTTTGAGGCCAGTCTTTAAGGTTTGCCCTACACCTAGGAGGGCTCCTCTTACCTGTCTTTCCCCTGGTTCTCTGAGAAAACCAGCTGGCTTATGGTTTAGCTTATTGCTATCACAGAGCAACAAAATTCCTCTTAATTATCCTCAAAATCTCTGCTGTTTTCAAGCATATGCTTAAGCTTGAATTTCCTACACACTATTCTAAACAAACTAGTTCATTTGAGAAAAGGTTCAGAACTCTCTATTTTTATGGCTTGCCTCTTGCTTTGTGCAAAATATCTGAGCAACAACTACAGAACTGGGGATAGAAACAGTTGCTTGCTTACGATCTCATAAAGACACATCTGCATTACTAGCAATCACTGGGCTTGGGCAGTAGCCTCTTGTTTTTTAGGCTTGATGCCCTTGTGATGAACTCTCCTTCTTATGAGTGACATGGGGTGATGGAAAGTCAGATAGGGCCTCAAGATTATTAGCTTGTTGGGTGATGGGTAGAGTTTGGCACTACAATTGGGAACTGGATAGACGAAGGGAAACACATAACTCTTGGCCATTTTCACTTGGAATTTAGCCACTGCAACATAGAACAAGAGAGCATGAGATATACTAATGGCCTGCCCAGATAGGAGAGATAATGTAGCCTTTGACAAAGGGAGGGGGTACTGTTTTTGTGGCTTCCTCTGTCCAGAGTTGAGCTTCTGCCACATTAACTGGGAGGAAAGAGGATGGAAGAAGCAGATTGCAGCTTAAGAAGATCAAGACTCTCACTAAACCTTGATTAAGCTTATTTTCTTGAATGAATGTTTCTACATTTGTTTTGTTTCCTTAGGGCAATTTCCAAAGACTTGAATTTTTTTAAGTATGTAATATATTTGAAAAAGGCCTGATATTTGATGGACACCTTTTTAAGTATGGTGGGATTGAGTCTAAAGTCACAGCTTCTACATGGCTTCCACTCTGATCTTTTTGACCACTGTAACACAAGGCCCTCTGTTGACCTGCCTTTTAACACTCTTACCCACTATGGCAGGACCAAAACCAAGTCTATTAGAAAAGGGAATTACTTAGTGTCTCTCCTTCCAGTTTTGCTGCCTTCAATGTTTGGAGATGTCAGGGTGATACAGCACCATACGTTGCCTGTTTTCAGTTGATGGAGGATAAACAGATAAACTTATATTCTTTCTTCCTTTGGATACCTTAGAAAAATCCATTTTGTTGCTGGTTAAGAGTTTAGCCAACTTCATATTTTAATAGTCATTCAGAAGGTAATTTTGTATGGATCTTAAATTAGTTGTAGAAGCCCCTAATTCTAACAGTAGTCACTAAAAGTTTAGAAGATAATGTTGCCTTATACTTTACCGTTATTGATGTCATTATTAACACTTAATAAGTGGAATTAATAAGGAAACGTTATTATGAACATCTTTACTGAACATGAACCAAGCTGGAAGGATCAAGGTACTTCCTCCAACCTATAGTTTGGATCAGACTTGTGTTTTGTGGATTTGGTCTACCTCAGCCTCTGCTTTGTTATGGATGTTAGAAGGTCGTGGGCTTAAAGGCAGGCAAATATCAACCTCTGTGATAAATTTAGTGAAGCAGACTTAAATTCAGTCATCTCTCTGTGCCAACATAGAATCACATGCCTAATCACATAGAATCAACATGGGAATCACAGGCAGAATAGCTACCTATGCAGCCACCATACATTGATTGAGTTCAATGATATATTTTGTCATGAGTAAAAAGAAACTGCTATAATATATGATTTAGGGGAAAACAGTTACAGCCGCCTGGAGCCACAGATTCAACAGCTGAGTATCAGGGAAAAAATGAAATTGGATGAAGTGTTAAGAAAGGGGGTACTGTTTCTACAAATGATTTTAGTCAAATACTGGCTATACTGAAGGTGAGGCTTTGATAAAACCAGGTTATATTATAGTAGCTTTTGGGTCTGCTCATGAAAACACATTTGCAAAAGTGCTGTTGAATATAGCTATCATTCAGACCTAATACTTCCATATCATCAACTGTAGATAGCCAAAGGGTGACCAAACTCTTCCTCTGTCTTTTACACATACACAGACACATACACATTACCACAACAGACATTATATACAGATATATATCCGTGTATAATGAATATAATATGTATGCTGTGCCATATAATGTGTATAATACATACGATGTGCATTTGTATTATAAGATGACTTTCAATGAAAAATGAATTTAGACATTTTCCCAAATGGAAATGGTTAAGGTTGCTTATATTTAATCATGTACTAATAAAACAACATTGAGGCTTTTGTTTTCAATTGTTGGAAACTCCAGATAATTGATCAAGGAAGTTCTGATGTGGTATTGTAGGCTACGATTTGGTTGTTATTGTTTGAACAGCCCATAATATTGTTATTATAAATAATGGAGTAGATGTATGTGGTGTCTCACAAGATAATGATCTAAAGAGATCAACAATCTAGAATTTCTTAGAAGAAACCAGATGACCAGAATCTTCCATACCAGCATGGATGGTAAGAGGTATTTCCATAGCCAACCATAGCCACATCCCAGGCTTCCACGGCCATACCTCAGGCCACCATAGTAGTTGCCATAGAAGCTCATGGGTGAGAAGAAGGCTCAGAAGAACAGAGTCAGTTTCTAAAGTTTAAAGTTTATAATCTACACAGGACCTTATAAACCAACAGAGGGAATGTGGGGCAAGCCACAGGCACTACTGGATTCATCTTTCAAACTAATTGGCATTAAAACCATCTCAAGAATTTCTCATAACTAATATATCCAAGACAACTTTGGTATGTGTCAGAAGGCCTGTAATGAAATCATGTGCCTTTGATGAGAGATTCTTCTACTTTGGTGACTTGTTTATTCCAGATTCCAAACTTAGACTGTGTTACTGCTACCATAACATCATGTAACCCATGCAGATTCTACCTGTTGAAAATTCTGGTTTTATTTAATACTATTCTTCTTGCACCTGCATATTTGCTGTCTTGAGGACAAAAGGGCAGTTTCAAAGGAAAAAGAAAGATGGAAAGGATGTGGGACAGGAGATATGGTGCCAGGATTCACTTGTAAACACTGAATGACTATGTGTTTTATCTTTTTTTGGGGAACAATGTTATTAACTTTGGTTTATACTTCACATTTACATGTGTCCATAATTTTATAAATGACCCCAAACCATGGTAGAGACCTTGAAGTTTGACCTCACTAACCCTAAATATATAGAAGAGGAGGGACTTACTTTACTAGAAATTTGAGTTTTAATGGATTCCAGAAACTCTCAAATGATTTATTGACGTCATGCTCCACTGCATATGTTGCACTGAAAAAGACACATCTCTTTCGGTATTCTTGCTCAAAATGTAAAACCTCAATCTTGATGTGATAAAACTTCAGACAAACTCAAACTGGGGAATATTCTACAAAACACACAACTCTTTCGAATTGTTAAGGCCATGAAGGCCAAGGAAAGACAGAGGAACTATCACTAGTTAAAGAGACTAAAAAGGTCTTACAACTAAATGCAGTGTGAATTGGATTATGGAACAGAAAAAACACATGAATGGAAAAAATGATGAAATAAAATCTATAGTTAAGAATATCATATAAAGTTAATTTCTTTGACTTGATAAATATACTATGATTATGAAAGATATTAACATTAGGGAACATTAAGTGTATATAAAAATTTTCTGTACTATTTTGGCACTTTCTTTAGGTCTAAAGTTATTAAAAATATGATGTTTAAAGGAAATATAAAAATACTCTTTCATTTCATTGATTTGATCATTTTCTAATTCACTTATCAAACTTTATTGAGAACTAATTATATACTAAGCACTACCTTTTTATTTTAAGATTTATTTATTTATTTGAGAGAGAGAGAGAGAGAGAAAACACATGGAGGGAGGAGTAGAGGGAGAAGAAGAGTGAGCATCTCAAGTAGGCTCCATGCCTACTGTGGTGCCTCATGAGGGGCTTGATCCAATGACTCTGACCTGAGACTCTGACCTGAGCAGAAATCAAGAGTTGTATGACTACCAAACTAAGCTACCCAGGCACCCCAATAGCAGGCATTTTTATGAGCACTGGGACAGAGCAATGGATAGGACAGACAAGGACACTATTGTGATGGAGCTTATGTTCTAGATTAAGCAGGGGAAGGAAATTCAAGACAGACATGTTCTAGATTAAGCAGGGGAAGGAAATTCAAGACAGACAAAGATTGAGTGAATTAGATAATTTCTAATTGCAATGAGTCTGTCTGAATAATAAATCAAGATGAGCAAAGGAAAACTTGGAGAGTTATTGGTGAAGGATTACTTCAGACTGAGTGATCAGGGAAAGCCTCACTGAGAGAACAAAGAGAGAAGGATGAGCCATTCTTGCTATTACTTCAGGAGCTCAAAGGCAGAGCCTTTAAGGTGGTAACAAGCAGGCCCATCTGAAAAGCTGAGAAGCCACTATGATCTATATATTGTAATGTAGAGGAACAGGGTTACCAGATGAGCTCATAGATGTAGTCAGGGCTGTGACATGCAGGGTCATATCAGCTGTGTTTTCTAAGCTTCGGGTTGCCAGATGCAGCAAACAAATACTGAAATTCAAATTTAACTGCATGTCTGGAACATACCCTAGCCATCCTAATGTGGGCAGACATTGAAGAATTACAGTCAGGAAGGGTCATGATCTGATCTGTGCCAGGCATGCTTTGAGACCTAGAAGAAAAAAATGAAAAAGTTTGAGTAATATAAAGAATCATCAACTTAATTTTGTTTTGTTAAATTTCTAATGATGATTAATCTATGAAGATATACATATATATACACATTTATATATTAAGATTGGAAATACATGAAATATCATATATAAGATATATATCATATATATAATAAGATTGGAAATATAAATTGAAACTGGAGAAGAGAATGTATCCAAAGTGATTCATCTAACAGGAGTCCCAGTGGAGACTAGAGACCATAGGTGGGGTAAACAGCTGGTGAGGCATTCTCACAGTTGAGGGTAAAATCTGAGGAGAAAAGAGAAAGGACACTTAGAAGGAGAAGTCACTGAGGTTGGAATTCAACCAGCTGTGCATGGAAGGATGACGGTAAAGGTTGGAGAGATTTTCAGGAATGAGAGAGAAGCCGGTGAATCTGAATGCTGCTGAGAGGCTGACTAAAATACTTGACCTCTAGATTTGGTGGGACTGAGGTCCTGATGATTTCTGTCAGAGGGTCTCAGGAGAGTAGTGGAGATGAAAGACCAAAACACAGGATCAGAGAGATAAAGGATTCTTAGAATACTGCTGTGGAAATACACTTGTGAAGTTCTGTTGTGAAGCAGAATACAGAAATGCGGATTATGCTGAAGAGTGTGAAGAATGAAAGAAAGCTTGTTTAATTTTTCATTGTGGAATATATTTGAGAATTGAGTATATTTAGAAAAGCACACCTACCAGAAAAGATAGGGAAAAAAAGAATGGCATGCTGTGCGAAGCTCTCATTGCTATGATCAAGGAGAACAACTTAATTCTTCAGAAGAAACACATTAAGAATCTAGGGAGAAAAAAACTCTAACAGATGTTATTAGAGACATTGTTTGCATAAAATACAATGTATTTGATATTCTTTTAAATAAAATACAGAAAACCCCAGATTAATTATAGTTCTTTTAATTACCTGATATAATTCAGGTCTACCAAATTTAGGCAATGATCTAAGAACTTAAATATTGTTGAAGAAGAATAAAAATCATGCTATTTCAACTGGTGTTGGCTAAAAACTTATTGTTCACTAGGCTCTGAACTGTGGGAATTGAGTCTATTATGATTTTTCTGTATAGAAAATTTGAACATGATGTCAAATCATGGTGAGGATGTCCTCTGCCTTTAATATCTCGATCCAACAGGTAGTGACTAAAATTTTGCCATAGTGTGGTGCTTTACAAAACACATCTACCACAAAACACACATGGAAAGCACATTTAAAGACATATGACCACTGAGTAGGAGAACGTGTTGATGGGACCATTAAATGAAATTCTTTTCTGTTTCATTAAGATGCTATTTTCTTTTGACTTATTTGAAATAGTTACCATGTAAGATGAATTGCATTATTTAAAAAACCTGTGTCCTTATTCTGAACATCTCCAGAGAGAGTAGATTAAAATGCAGAGGGTGTCTAACTTCTTAACCCATCTTCCCTGTGATATAAACCAGCATCAATTCCATTCTATAAACCCTGCTAAGGTTACTTGAAGAAATACATAAAAAGATATTTTGCCTGAGAACTGTAATTAAATATCAGATATCTGCGTGGCTGTATAGATAATGCTGTCTTCCCACATGCATTTTCTTAAAGACACAGAAGTCTATTTTTAAACTGTAACATAAAACTACTCCTGTTTTTCTTGGGCTATCCTGTTGGGTGAGCTATCGCACTGATTGGAGTAATTCAAGGGTTATGCAAGAGAGCTTAGCATGTCAGGTCACAAAGCATACTGATTTGACGTTTAGAGAAAAAAATAGTTCTCTTATTGTTAACAAAAATATGTGATGCTAAGCTCATTAGGTAGTTACTTCGAATATTGACTAATCACTCCATATACAATTAGGACAAAAAATATAAAAATTGGATTCCACAGAATAACTTGTATTTGCTTGTCCTTCAGTAGAAGTTGGACATAAGTGAGAATAAAACTCATTCGTATAAACAGGAAAGTAGAAGATACTTTGTTCAGACCTGTTTCCCTTGATTTTAGTGAGTTAAATTATTATCAACATCATGAGCATGAAAGATACATTATGCTTTCAATAGAGAAAAAGGAATTAAATCCTTGAAGAAATTAATTATTTGGATCAAGAGAGAAGAAAACCTCATGAATAGAAAGAAATGTTATTCTATGTGAAATGCTATATAATAATATAATTATTTGGGGACCAAGACCCTCACAGATGCATTCTTTTTTGAAATAAGGATGATTATAGGTAGTTAAAATGAAGGTTTAATTTGGGGCAGGACTGTGTAGAGTGCATGAGTGTCTCCCCTCATTCAAGCCCTAAACTGGATAAAAAGTCCAAACAAAGTAAATCACCTTAATACCTCTGAAGCTTTATCTTAGGGTTGAGGAACAACAAACTAATGCAATTAATCATAAAATTAGCCAATGACATGACACGTGTTGTGGTGACACCCACTCTGGGAGCATATAAAAGGTCTCTGCAGGGAGAAATGTTCACACCACAGTGAAGTAACACTTCTCCTCTCCTCATCTACCCAACAACAACCTCAACAACCAACACCATGTGTGGCAGCTACTATGGAGGCTGTGGCTATGGACGCTGCGGCTATGGAGGCTGTGGCTATGGAGGCTATGGCTACGGAGGCTGTGGCTGCGGAGGCTGTGGCTACGGAGGTCTGGGCTGTGGCTATGGCTCCAGCTATGGCTGTGGCTTCCGCAGACTGGGATGTGGCTATGGCTGTGGCTCTGGTTGTGGCTACGGCTATGGGTCCCGCTCCCTCTGTGGCTGTGGCTATGGCTGTGGCTCTGGCTGTGGCTATGGCTATGGCTGTTACTAACTGAGGTCGCCGTGGGAGACTCTCACCTTCCACACCTGGACATGGGATTCACCAGTTCTGACACTTTCTGAGCCTCATGGTTGGGGGCTGATTATCCTGTATCACTGGTGTTAGATATGACTTTTTCTGAAGACTTGAACTCTGGTGCTTTCTTCGTCTGAACTATATCTCCTTCCTTTCCTGGTTATAACTCGTGAAAAGTAGGAGAATGTGAAAATTATCCTGTGAGCTCCTGCCAGGTGTCTCATCTGGGTGATGTTGTCATGGATCCTGCCTTTTGATTTTCATACAGATTATTTTTCTCCATTTTTCTAATAAACTTCTTCAATCTGACATAAAAATATTGTTTTTTTCATTTAATATTCATAGCTATGCTTTGAGTTTTAAAAAATTATTTGTATAAAAGGAAACAATTGCCTTCTTTAGGGAATATCTTCTTTTTATATTTCTTTTTTTTTTGTAAGATTTTATTTATTTATTTGACAGAGAGAGAGATAGAGATCACAAGTGGGCAGAGAGGTAGGGGGAAGCAGGCTCCCCGCTGAGCAGAGAGCCCAATGTGGGCTCAATCCCAGGACCCTGAGATCATGACCTGAGCTTAAGGCAGAGGCTTAACTCATTGAGCCACCCAGATGCCCCTTCTTATTATATTTCTAATTCAGTTGCTCCACCAAATCCTTGATTTGTGACATCAAGAAAGTACCAATCTTTGCAGCTATCATTTTCTACTCTGTTTAAGCGGTAATAATGTGTGATGCTGGGTTATTGTTAAGATAAACGAGATAGTATTTGCCAATTTAGTTAAGCATTGCCTGGAAACACTACATATTCCAAGTGCTTTTGCATCAAAATCTCCATCTATTGAAATTTCTTATAAGATATGAGCGTTGGAAGGAAAAATAAAACAAGATAAAAACAGGGAGGCAGGCAAGCCATAAGAGACTCTTTACTATAGGAAATAAACTGGGGGTTGCTGGAGGGAAAGTGAGTGGGATCGGATAGATTAAATGGGTGATGAGCATTAAGGAAGGCACTGGTGATGAGTTCAGGGTGTTATATGCAAATGATGAATCATTAAATTCTACCCCTGCAGCTAATGCTACACTATATATTAAGTAATTTGAATCTAAATAAAATCATTTTTTCAGGGACGCCTTAATGGCTCAGTGGGTTAAAGCCTCTGCCTTTGGCTCAGGTCATGCTCCCAGGGTCCTGGGATCAAGCCCCGCATCGTGCTCTCTGCTCAGCAGAGAGCCTGCTTCCTCCTCTCTCTCTGACTGCTTCTCTGTCTGTCAAATAAATAAATAAAATCTTACAAATAAAATAAAATAAAATCATGTTTAAAAAAATAAATAAAATCATTTTTTCAAAATTCTACTTATTCATTTGAAAGAGAGAGAGAGGGAGAGCATGAGTTGGGGAGAGGGAGAGGGAGAAACAGACTACCTGCCGAGCAGGGAACCTGATGTGGGACTCCGTCCCAGGATCCTGGGATCACTACCTGAGCCAAAGGCAGATGCTTAACCTACTGAGCCACCCAGGTGCCCCTAAATAAAATCTTGAAAATAAAAACAAAAGATATGAGTGTTGATGCATGATTCTGGTTTTCTCATCTTTGGTTTGGGCATATGTAAGCAAGAAGTGTTTCTTATGCTTGTTCAGTTCATGAGGTAAAGTGGATCAAACCACCCGCCACGTCTTTCCACCTAATAAGTCTTGCTATGATTTCATAAATTATTTTTAAAAGATGACGCCATCTCTAACACCCATTACTTCTTTATGTTTAAAGCTGTTTGGTGGCATCCTCCACACTTGTTTGTCCTGAGTCATTTCTTCCCTGTCCAATGTGTGGTTTCACAGTTGTAGCTGCGGTTGTTTGCTTCTTCCACTGGTGACCGTGTGTGTGCACGCACATGTGTGTGTGAGACTCAGGCCTGTAAACTTATCAATTATTTTTTTCTTGAAATATGATTTTTTGATCTTGGGACATGAATGAGTTCAAGTGTTGTATTTAAGGTGGTGGATAGGCCCCAATTCACAGGGCAGATTGTTAGGTTCAATTTCAAAATTGTTCACCTCTCGAGAAGGAATTAAGATCCCTGGAAATATCAAACCCCCAAAGAGAGCATATTTTCCTCCATGTACACCTGTGTGAGGACTTGTCTTTCCTCTTTAATTTTGAAGCTTAGAGTTTTTCTTTAATATTAAATAGAAATTAGTTGATCTATGCTTGTGCATCTAAAGAAATAGTGGGTTTTACAACTATTTTGGCTTGCTTGGTAAGTCATAACAGTTGGACACAAGTGATGCCTTGGATGTAGGGTCACAAGCAAAGACTCTTTTTGGTTATGGTTTTCCATGATTTCCCCCCAACATATCCTTTAATGTCACCCAGAATTGATTAATATTCTTAGCAGCTCTACCACATTGAAATTGACATTGAATGTTACCATTATCATCCCCAAATAAACATCCATTTTTGTACTCACATTGGATGGTCCACTTCTTAAAGTCTTCAAATTATGTAGATCTCTAGTTGCAATTGAAATACATGGGCATCTTTTACATTCTACACCATTCCTTATTTGTGTCTCTCTTTTTTACAGTGACAAACCTCTACCTCAACATCATTGTGTTCACCCTATCCAATAGCATACACAAAATACTTCCTAAATTACCACCCTAAAACTTAAAACATAGGTCTGCCTCTTATTGTCTCATGACATTTGACAAATTGTGGACTCTCTTGGAAATTGATGTTCTTATAAAAATGTTAAGTATAATGATAAAACCAGCCTTCTTGAATTGCTCTGAGAATGTTCATATCAAGTAAATGTAACTTTTTACTATTTCATGCATGGCTAATTTTCTGATTCTTTGCATATGAAAGAGTTATTTTTTGTCATACTTGTTCTATGCTGCTTATGTAATTCATATTCCAAAGCTCTGTGTTATAATATGCATTTATAATCTAAATAATAATAAGTGACATTTTTTGGCTGTTTATCATAGGATAATCACTTGCCAAGTCCTTTATGCACATTATCCTACATAAGCCCCGGAACAACTTTACAATGTATTAAAATTACCCTGTTTTATAGCTGAATAAAAGAGGAATGAGTTAATTTTCTCACTGGCAGTTTTAATGTGGCAAAGAGATGTCTCATAATTACCTATTTGTTGTCTCTGTGCATGTGAATATAAAACATTGTTGGTTTTTCCTGCCTAGATAATTACAAGGACTTTACTCCCCCCACTAAATGCAAAAGAATCTCCTGGGATAAATTTAGTTACTAGTACCATTTATTATTGACTAATATAAAATTAATATATTGATGATCAAGTTTATTTTTAACTCTTTTTCCCCATGACTTTCTTCCTTCATCCTTTACTTTCTACCTGCCAGTTAAATTATGAAATTCCAATGCTCCTTTGTGAGACTCTAGAATCTTTGGTGTACATGAATTTCTCTACTTGGCATAACTGTTGTCTTGGCCTAAGTGCTTTTGCTCCAAATTTTAGGGAAGCCTGTCAGTCTCTTTCTCTATCTCAGCTTATGTTAAATTTTCTATCTTCAGTAGAGGCTGCACATTTCTCATGACAAATATATATTTCTCCTTTTTGGATTTGCTATTTGCTTGTATGGTTATAATAGCATTATCTATCCCATGTCTCTTAAACATTATGAATTTTAGAATTTAAAAAAATCTGTTAAAGTGTTCTTCCTTCTTTTGCAATAGTGCTATTTTGATGGATGAGCTTATTCTGAATCCTTAGATCAATTCTTTGATTTTTGATAACATGTTTTTTTTTTCCCAAATGGTTTTATCCTTCAAAAGAATAATCTACATACCCAGTACTTAGGCTTGGTACTTGTTCCATCAGAATTTATGTGTGTTCATATGCAAATCTTTCATACACAGACAACTATAAAGGAAGATGTTTAGATTTTTTATTTTATTTAGCTTATTTACAATAGTTACTATTCTTTTTTAAAAAGATTTATTTATTTTAGAGAGAGAGAGAGTGAGAAAGAGCATGGGGAGAGGTAAAGAGGGAGGAAGGGAGACTCTCAAGCTGGCTCAATATGGAGCCCAAGGAGGGGCTTGATTCCATGACCCTGTAATCATGACCTGACCCCAAATCAAGGTCAGATTCCTAACTGACAGAGCTGCCCAGGCACCCCAGCAATATCTATCACTTTTCTATCACCGTATGGTGCAGGCAAGTGGAGGTAATAATTTCTAACACTGTATATTCTATTGCTATGTTTATTGTGAGGCTGTCTTACCGATATATTCTAGATGTTGGTGATATTCTACTTCAGATTCTTTCTATTTTATCCCTAGGTGAGTTTTTCTTTTCCTTTCTAATATATAGAATTTTAATCTATTTACTTTTTCTCTCATTCAGTCTTGCCAAATAGCATGAAGAAATACTCTCAACATTCTTGCAAATAGATGACAATACTTGCATATTTACAGTAACTTCTATTAGTTTCTTGCAGCATTACAGATATTTTACAGCATTATTATCATAGTCCCTTATTTTCCAAAGATATTTAGAACTTGGTGAATTGAAGTTATTTATGATTATATTTTTGATCCTAAGTTCAATATAAATGCTATATTCTTTTTTGATTGCATATTTAATGTATACACTTTATAGCAATGTTGAATCAGTCACGGTTGCTTATGGTCAACAGAAGAACAAATATCAGATAGTGAATAAATAAAGGAATTAGAAGCCTCAGGTTTTCTGGAAAGGTTATGCAGCCCAGGAAAAATGAAATAGCAATTTTTAACATCCCATTATGGGGGTTCTAGGAATACATCACTGTTCTACTTCTTGAGTAAAGGCATTGCAGGTTTTAAGAATGAAGTTTGGAAATAATTATCAGAAATTCTATGCCTTCCCCTCCTTATATATTATATATTTGCCACTATTCTCAATGTATGATGATTCCTTCCATTACCTACTTGCCCACAGTTCTCCTCCTG